AATCAAAGCACAGAAGCAAGAGCAAGTCAAAGCCTGGTCAGCAAACAACCTGCTGGAACTTTAGCAAAACACGCCACATAAAGAAGAACTGCAAAAATCTTAAGAAGACGGAGAACATCAGTGCTAATGTTGTAACTGAAGAAGTACAAGAAGAGTTATTGCTTGCAGTTCATAGCTCTATTGACGACTGGATACTGGACTCATGAACTTCTTTTAATACATCTTCCCACCGGGAGTTAATGAAAAACTATGTTATAGGTGACTTTGGGAAGGTGTACCTGGTTGACGGAGCAACTTTGAACGTGGTGGTGATGGGAGATGTTGAAATTGCACTCCCTAAAAAAACAAATGGATCCTGTAAAAGGTTAGACAGATTTCTTAACTGAAAAAGAACCTCATATCTGTTGGCCAATCTGATGAGGGAGGTCATTCAATAGTGTTCTCGGATAACACCTGGAAGATTATCAAAGGAGCATTGGTACTGGCTCGAGATAAAAAGACTGGTACGCTATATATGACAACTAGTTTAATTAACAGTGTTGATACTACAATTGTAGAGAGCACAACAGACATGTGGCATTGCAGGCTTGGACACATGAGTCAGAGAGGTATGAAATAGCTTTAGTCCAGAGCCACCAGAAGAATGTCAGTTTTTTGAAAGGTGGTAGGGTGCCAAATGCAAGAAAACTAGAACTGGTACACACCAATGTGTGAGGGCCTTCCCTATTGGCATCTCTTGGAGACTCTCACTATTACGTCACATTCATAGATGACCACAGCAAAAAGGTATGGGTTTAGTTTCTGAAGCATAAATTTGATTTATTTTGTGTGTTTAAAACTTGGAAGGGCATTATTGAAACGAAGATAGATCTAAAACATAAATGTTTGAGATCTGACAATGGTGGTGAGTACATTGATGGTGTGTTCAAGGAGTAATGTGCAACTCAGGGTATCTGAATGGAGAAGACCATTTCGGAGACACCGTAGCAAAATGGAGTTGCAAAATGCATGAACAGGACCATCAATGAGCGTGCTAAGAGCATGAGATTGCACGTCAGACTACCACCAACCTTCTAGCCAAATACGGTCAGCACTGCAGTTTACTTGATCAATAGAGAGCCATCCATCCCATTAGACTGTAAATTACCTAAGGAGGTCTGGAGCGGTAAAGAGGTCAAATTTTCTCATCTTAAGACTTTTGGTTATCTTTCTTATGCTCTAATCAATCCCGATACACGTAGCAAGCTTGAGGCTAAGTCAAAGAAATGTTATTTCATTGACTATGGAAATGAAGCATTCGGTTATCGTTTCTCGGAAGATCATTAAAAGTAGAAATATGATTTTTAATGAGAAGATGATGTACAAGGATAAGACTAGTATAAAATCTGAAGTAGCTTATCAGGAATCAGAGTTTGTGAGATTTGACGATCCAACTGAGGTTGTAGTGCAGGGCGAAGATGTGAATGACGAGGAGAATGGGTCTAGGGCACCCATTCCTATTATTCCACAAGCAGGTTCAAAGTCCTTCACTACTCCATCCGTCGTTCACAGGGCATTCATGAGCAGGCATTCGTCGCAACGCTACTCACCAACTGTGAATTACATCTTGCTGACAGATAGTGGAGAACCACAGAGCTATGAAGAAACCTTATCAGATGAAAATACTATCAAGTGGGAGTTGGCCACGAGGGAGGAGATGGATTCCCTGATAGGAAATCAGACATGGAATCTAATAGAACTTCCATTATGGAAGAAGGCATTGCACAACAAGTGGGTGTACTGGGTAAAAACTGAGTCTGATGGCAGTAAAAGGTACAAAGTCACACTTGTTACAAAAGGCTTTCAGCAGAAGCAGGGCATTGATTACTTTGAGATCTTTTCTCCTGTGGTAAAGCTCACAATCATTAGAATTGTCCTGTCTATGGTTGCTACCGAAGGTCAATTCCTGGAGCAATTAGATGTGAAGACAACTTTTCTTCATGGAGACCTTGAAGAAGACATCTATATGCACCTGACGGAAGGGTTCATGGTATAAGGAAAAAAATTTAGTTTGTAGAATGAAGAAGAGCTTGTATGGTCTGAAGTAAACTCTCGGACAATGGTACAAGAATTTTGATAATTTCATGCAAGATGCTTGGTACAGAAGATGCCAGACAGATCACTGTTGCTATGTCAGGTACTTTGACAGTTCCAATATCATCTTGTTGTTGTATGTGGATGATATGCTTATTGCAGGGGCTAGCATTGATGAGATCAATAATATGAAGAAGCAGATGTCAGAGCACTTTACAATGAAGGATTTAGGAGCGGCAAAACAAGTCCTTGGCATGAGAATTGTGAGAGACTGAGTCAGAGACACTTTAAGGATTTCACAAGATGAATATGTGAAAAGGTGCTTAGTAGGTTCGATATGGACAATGTCAAGCCAATTGACACACCTTTGGGCAGTCACTTCAGACTTAGCAAGTATCAGTCACCCAAGTCAGATGAGAAATAAGGCTACATGAGTAAGGTTCCTTACACTTCTATTGGTTCACTTATGTATTCTATGGTCTGCACCAGACTAGATATTGCCCATGCAGTGGTTGTGAGTAGATACATGAGTAATCTAGGGAAGGAACATTGAGAAGTTGTGAAGTGGATCCTGAGGTACTAAAGAGGCTCTTCAGAAACCTGCTTGTGTTTCTCAGGAAAGAGCCTAGAGGTACAAGGCTATGTTGATGCAGATTTAGCTGAAGACATTGATAGTAAGAAGAGTATTTCATGTTATGTTTATACCCTTGGTGATACTGCAGTGTCATGAGACTCAAATCTACAAAAGAAAGTTTCTCTGTCCACTATAGAAGCTGAGTATGTTGCAGTGTCAGAGGCTGCAAAAGAGATGATATGACTGTAGAGCTTCCTTGAAGATTTGGGTAAGGAGGCTCAGAAAGTCACTCTCCATAGTGATAATAAGAGCGTCATATTCCTTGCCAGGAATCCAACTTTTCAATCTAGGACCAAACACATTCATATCAGGTATCACTTCATTCGATCTTTATTAGATGATGGACAACTGTTACTTAAGAAAATTTGTGGAAGTAAGAACCTTGCTCATATGTTGATTATGGGGGTTACCCTTGAGAAACTGAAGTTGTGCTCGACCTCAGTTGGCCTTCTAGCGTGAAGACATGGGCTTTGAGTTATAGAGGTGGAGGATATCACATTTGAATAAAAAGGGGTGATGCAGCCAATGGGTGGTACAGTCAGTGTCCTGTCCCCCAGTCTCCAAGTGGGAGAATTGTTGAGAAAGTGGAGCTATGTCCACTGCGGCTTAGGCAAGTTATTAAACAAAAATTAAGTTTAATAACTTTCCTTAATCTCTGTTGCATGCTCGAACTCCCGCCTCTTTCCTTCTCTGATGAACAGCACAACCACGTGAAGCTCTGTGTTTCTCCTCCTCTCCGCGTTCCCGTGTTGCCTGTATTGAAATCCCGCTTGCAGAATTGCTAAATAAGGATTATGGTTTCCTTAAGTGGGCTTAATAGCTTGGTTATAAATTGAAAAATGCAAAGCTCAGGTGAATCACTCTCCAATTAATCCAATCTCCTTCCTCTGCTAGGTGGCTTACGGGTGGCTTACAGAATTCTTCTTCCCTTGGCTGTGGCTCTTTTAAGAGGGAGAAAAGGAGAGAGAGAGAGAGAGATAGAGAGAGGAGAGTTTTTTTATAAATGTCGAGGCGCTCGATGGTGTATTTTCTTTGAAGTAATAAAATCCTCTACAGCTCCGTAGACGTAGACAATTTTTCGAACCACGTAAATCTTGTGTCACCTTTTTCTGGTGTAATTTTTTCTCGATCTGTTTTTCGATGTATTGCCATCGTTTTTCATAACAACTAATACATACAAAGCACCTAAAACATTGCTATCAACAAATGAAGCATCCTCTCTCAGCCATTCTTAAATTCTCACTCAATCATCAAAGGTAACCCCCACCTAGAATGACACACTTGAAACTTTGTTGTCAACAAATCATGCAGTCTCTTTCAGCCATTTCTCAAATTCTGACTCAAACATCAAAGGTATAGATAAAATCCTACTTCATATTACATTCAATCACAAATTTACAAAATCAAAATTCAAAATCATAAAGAGAAAGTCACAAATCACAAAATCTAAATTCTAACATCAAAACACAAATGAGTAAGCCAGAAGTAGCAAAATCCAGATTCTCACTTCAAATTGCAAATGACAAAACCACAAATCGCAAAGAGAAAGTCATTCCATAAAAAAATGGTGCACTGTGGGAGGATGGAGAGCACAATAACCATAGAAAGAGTAGAAAGACAACTCACTGCCATCGAAGAAAGGCACGGGAGAGGAGCGATCGAGATGGGTGTGACTAGGTAGAAGAAATGCGAGAGGAAGGGCAATGGTGAGAGGGGAGTGCAAGGGTAGTAGAGTAATAGGTTCTCGAAGAAATACGGGCAGTGGGGTCGAATCCATGGCCTTCGTTTAACATAAATTTTTAACAACTGCTTTCGTGCCACTATTTCCAAACGCTTTATCTGGCATTTTCAGAATGCACTACGCCAAATAAGCTGCCAGAAATGGGCCCTAAATCTATAAGTGCATATTAACTGTGTGATATGAATATAACCGCCAAAGAAAAATGCATGCTTAAAATATCAAACTAGAAATCAATTTTTTTGAATAAAATAGAAATTAAAAAGAAAAAGAAAAGGAAGACTGAAAGAGAATCAGGGAAAATCTTCAATTTAATGATTTACGTGTTAATATTCCCTCCACTACAAACAATCAAACAAACTGTTACTTTGTTTAACCTGTCTTCACCCAACTAATTTTCCTAACTCAGCATAAGCCATCAATCAACATAGTTTTATTAATAAAAAATTATAAGAAACATTTTTGGTAAACAAAAATTATAGTCGACACAACACATCCCTGCTATCGGTCTCTCAAATACCCAAACAAAAACCTTCATTATCTGATCCCAAGAGAGAAAGGAAAGCGCATAAACTTATGAAGTAGTTTGTAGCATTAAACATGACCGACATTTACTAAAAAAAAAAAAAAAATTCTAAGCTTGTGTTTGGGATGGAAGCACAGAGAACAAATGAGAGTAAATAATTAATTAGGTAACTCGAATGGTGCCTGGGGACAATGTGGCCAAGTTACTGCGAGGCTGCGGAGGCGCGATGCTGAGTTCCAAATCCTTATTTGCAGTAGTTGCAGAAATAACCAATGTTTGAGGATTGCGAGGAGGCACAGGTAAATTGAGTGAAGTAATACCAGGTTGATCAAGAGTGACAATGGTTGGGGTGAGGGCTAAGGTGGGGTGGCCCTGTCCCTGTTTTAAATTCAAAATATAATGAGTTTAGAATGTGAATACTGGAAAAAAATGAAGCTTTTTGCAAGTAATTACCACTGAGCCGATTTTTGGGAGATTAAGGCTAGTACTGCTGCAATTTTCTGCATCTGGAGATGCCATTGGGAAAAAAATGGAGGAGGGGGATCCGGTCTGCAGTTATTTTAATCATTTTTAGGGAAGCTTACTATGTTATTTCTAACATATATGCTCACAAAATGACTCCATGGAGAAGTAAAAATCAAATTAATTGCATGGGAAGACTTACTGAATGATTGTTGTGGTTGAGGCGATCAGTTTCTTCAAAAGGATCTTCAGATCTCTTCAATGGTGAAAGAGGGGGAGTCTCCGAGTTTCTGGCCTACAAAGAGTAGATTAGTTATTGAGGAGAAAGAACGAAGAAAGAAAAGCAACAATTGTTAGCTGCCATGTGGAAATGGTGAGATTAATTTTGATATACCTTGTTGCTGATAACCACATCAAAGAGGCTGGTTCTCCTTTTCCTTTTGTTGGGATTATTTTGCCTGAGAAAATATTTCTGGGCGTGGCTGGCAACTTGGGTTGGAGTTCTGGTGGTCACAAATTTTCTTGAGATTCCTCTCCAGTCTCCTCTCCCAAGCTTTTCCAGCCCAGCTAAAAATGTTCGATGCTCTTCTTCGGTCCAGGGAACTCCTAAATAACATAAAAAAATATTATCGTTAGTGATTTAGAACAATAAATGAAGAATCACACAACTAGCCAGAAGACATATATAGGCCAAATTAGAAATAATAATAAAAAAATCACGGTAGCAAGATGGAATCACACAACCAAGCATAGGAAACATGCATAGTACTAAAATTAGGATGGTTAAAAGTCTGTAGGTGAGGCTTAAGAGCTATTCTTTTTCCAACACTATGACATAAGAGGTTATGAAAAAAACCAATGAATTAGCCTTTCTACAATGCCTTGAGTAATACTTGTTAGATATACAATGGAAATATGATAAGTCCTTACAGGAGAAAAAGTTGAAGCCTAAAGAGAAGGGAAGAGGGGGAATATTGAGTATAAGTAATTCCACAAAGTTAAACCCACACTTAGGATTTAATTTCAAACCTATATATATAATGATTTACATAAAAATACATGACTTGTACACTTATGCAGCATTCTAAGTAGAGGGTGAATTTGATTTATGATGGTCACTAGTTAGAAACTTTAGAAGAGTTCCAAATTTAAGGTGAGTTTCTTTTCAAGTTCTTCAAGTGATAATTCATTGGTAAGCTAGTAAGTTAGCCTTCGTGAATGAGCCACTTCATTTTTATTTTGTGGAGTCTGAAGCATCCACAGTCGAAGAAGCCCGCAATGTCTACAAGAGCTCACAGTCACAAAAATGGTTGCACATGTACCTGGCAAAGCCACACCTCGAAATGGGTGTAGCTATGACATTCGGCCTAATCACGCCACCGATTGTCAATCGACACAGATTGATCCTGAGCGGGTTCATTCTCGTGTGTGGTTTTTTAATAAAGTTCTCGTGAATAAGGGAATAATCAAAGAAGAGAATTTCGATATACATTTTCTCTTGCGAGATTGAGATGAAGATTTTGGAACAATGTCCTGTAAGCTCCATTCATTGTAAAAAAAGAGATCTGAATGAGTTATTTGTACATTTATAGTCTTCATAGTAAAAATTTCTTAGTGATGTGGTTCCTTAGTTTTTTCTCATTCTAGAGTTTTTCAAAGCTAAATTCAATGCTTGTTTTTTTCTAGAATTATTCCTTGTGTTTTTATTTGATTTTTCTTATTCCGAATTTCTCAAATCATTGTGGTCCTATTCCATGGTATGATTTTTTTAAATCTATTTGACTAAAATCCTAATAGAAGCATATAAAAGTTCAATCCCAATAAGTGGTATCAAAGTAGAGTGTTTGATTCGAGTGGGGGCAATGACTGACGAAAAAAAGTATGTAGTGAAGAATTTCAATGGAATGAAGATCACATGCTAAAGGATGAATGTAAGTGAAGGATTTACTGTATCAAAAAAATTATATTTATCAAGATATGGTATTATAGAGAAGCCTGAGTATGCAGGGAAGATCCTACAGAGGTTCAACATGAGGGAGACAAAATTAGTTTGCACCCCTTAGGTAGTCACTTCAAACTATCCAATGAGTAATTACTTAAATCTGAAGTAGAACAAATACACATAGGGAGAACTCTGCATGCTTTAGTAGTTGGAAATCTAATATATGCTATGAGTTGTATGAGATCAAATATTGCATTTATAATAGAAGTGGCCAGCTGGAACATGAGTAACCCAGGCAGGCATCCTTAGGAGGTGGTAAAATAAATTCTTAGATATTTGACGGGCAAAGTAAAAAAGTTATTTTACCATGAAAAAGCATGGATTAATCTACAAGCATTTGCAGATTTAGATTTGGTGGAAGATTTGGTTGGTAAAAGAAGTACAATAGAGCATATCATTACTTTGGGAAACAAAGCTGAGTCAAGTTTCCAGTCTGCAGAAATTATTGCACTTTCAACTACGGAGGCCAAATACATTGCTAGCACTGAGGTTAGCAAGGAGATGATTTGGCTACAAAGCAAACCGAAGTGGGAGTAGCGGATTGGAAAGTTCCATAGAGATAGTATGCATGCAGTTCATCTTGCTATGAATATTATTTTTCATGCTAGGACAATACATATATGACTGATATGTCACCTTATACGTTTTATCACGAAGGATGAGTAGTTGTTTTTGGAGAAAATACACATAACTCAGAATTCCGTGGATATGTTGACGGAAGTGAAGATTATCAGAAAACTGGAACTATGCTAGCCTTTTGTTAGAGTCCATGAAGGTTGAGATTGGGAGTGAGACACACCATGGTACGTTACCATGAAAATGGTATAAGCGGAGATGAAAACTTTGATTGATCATTGGTCTTAGGTGGCATCAAGCTCCAAATGGAGATTGTTATGTTGTGGATCTTAAAACACCAACATTTAAAGAAGCCCACAACAGTTGCAGGAGCTCACAGCCGCAAAAGTGCCAGCACATAGACTTGGCATAGCCACACCTAAAATAAGCATAGCTATGCCAACACTGGTTGGCATAAACATGCTGAAATAGGCATGACCACATCGCTGAGGGTCGATCGACACATTTTTATCACGAGCAGGCACAATAATTACACCGATACTCGGTGTGAGCACACCACTAAGTGGTTCATCCTGTTAAGTTCCTTAAATTCGTGATTTTGAGCAACAGATGTATCATTCTTGCGTGTAGTTCTTTCAACAAAGCTCTCGTGAAGTAGAGAAGAGTCAAATATGAGATTCTTAATGCAATCTTTTCAACAACTAAGTATGTAAGGCAAATTTGGATGATATGGCAAGATACAATCTTGAACGATTTGAGGCTTTATGTGACTTAAAGAAGTGGCAAGCTATTACTTGTAATATTTCAAATTAATTTACAAGAATCAGTTTGTTATTCTGTTCAAGTTCTCTTAGCGACTTGATTGACTTGATTAGTTTGATTATAGGTGCACAATAATGGTGTTCATTAATTACTCATCCCCCAAACTTACTATGGGATGTATGCATTTTATTCGCCCTCTAAGAATATTCAAAAGAAAATAGAGAGTGATTCTATACAAGTTAAAAATTGGGAAAGTCTTGCATTTTTGCCAACATTATTGTATATTTTAAAAAGAGTAATGACGAACTAAATAAATAACCATTTTTGTGAGGAAAGTTATTGCACCATGGTAACCAATTTCTATAATGAAATAAAAGACATCACTGGCACACTTATTCGTGACATAGTGGTTGAAGGTATAGTCTCTCAACAGAAGGTCAAGGATTGGAATCACGCATATTACCCTTTGAGAGCATATCTTTCCCCGAAATAAAATAAATAAATAAATAAAAGGTGCCAGCAGAATTGAAAAGAGAGGAAATGATGGCAACAAAATTATAATGGTTCACATATAAAGTTTATGGAATGTTGAGAGAAAAAAAAATCACGAAAGAAATATTAAGCATGATGAACCAATGTTCTTCAGAACCAGAATAATTAAATAACTTTTGCTTGTGAGCTAAATAGTTTTAAATTCAATCCAAGAGAACAAAAAAAAAACCAACAATAACAGCCAAAACAAAAAGAGATGCTTTTTTTCTTAATTTTTGAATTGTAATTAGTTTTGTAGACGCTTTGAATTGATTGATTAACACAAACATTCAGAAAGGAATTACCATAGGAAAATAGAGAAGAACAAATATAAAAAAATAGGAGGAGCGACGGAGGGCTATCGAATTTCTTTCGGGCATATCAGCTCCACAAAGAAAAATCTAAGTAAAATCCAAGAAAAATATCAGATGAAGGATGAAATCTAATAACTTACAAAAATCAATGGCGCCATATTCCGCCAATATAAAAAGAGAAAACTAACGGTAGGCTAGGATTGAATCAACTAAACTTAATCAAAAACAAATTCATAACATTGAAGACGCAAAAATTTGAATCAAACAATGAATGAATTAGGTTACATTACGCTTATCATAGTACAAAAAAAATAATAATAATAATAAATAAATAAATTAAAAATAATAATAAAATAAAAACCGAAAGAACCATAACAACAATAAAAATTTTCAAAACATCACCAGATTTGTTCAGTCCATTCTACAATCAGCAGAATCCACAATTTGGCACAAAAATGGTGAATGAAAAGCCAGTAACATCGGTAAGAAAAAAAAAAATGATTTCCGACAATTGCCAGAATTAAAAAACCAATTAACTAAATCCCGACAAACAAGGCAAAAATCGACGAATGAACGAACGACAAGATGGTTAGAATCCGCCAATCACCTCTCTTCCTTTCCTGCCCTTCTCTCCTTCTGGACGACTTGGGAAGCGCACCATCTGAAAGATACCCATCATCGCCGGCTCCATGATCTTCCGATGATGTCGAGCCGGACGCCACCAGGTTCCCCATGCTCTTGCTCTTCAGCATACCTTTCTTCATCCCTTGTTCCATCCCTTCCCCCTTCAAATCCCTCATCTCCGCCTCTTGCTCCCTCTTCCAACTCTCCCCATCAACGATCGTCACCCCAAACAGCTTCAATCCCTTCTCCCCCATCGCGTCCTAATCTCTCTCTCTCTCTCTCTCTCTCTCTCTCTCTCTCTCTTATCGCCTTCTTCCTCCTCGGAGAGCGGAAAACAAATCAAAGGAGAAACGCAGTTAGTGCTCTGGCTTTCGGATTTGGTTATTTATATACACATATCCAAATCCGCAATGTGGAAAATGCCAACGTATTTGTGAGAAAGTGCCGAAAGTGCCCTCTTGCTTAGGGAAAAGCTTAGCTAATGCTTAGGTAAATTGGACGAATATGGATACCGCCAGTTAGAATAAGCGCTGATTTTGATTCTTTTTTTACCGTTTGCTTCCCGTTTTCGCTGTCATTCACAATTTCTAATCATATGAGAATTACTAGGAAACTAATTATAGGTATCATTCCTAAAAAGCGGAAGAATGGTTTCAGTTAATGATCTAGAAATCATAAACTTCCCCGAAATAAAACAGATCAAGTTTGACATCTCATTTTAGATTTTAGGGTGTGCTTGCGCGGCCCGCGGGCAGGCAGTGGGGTTCGTCCCGCGGCCTGTGTTTAATGTAAAAACCCAAATGCGATTTCAGATAAACTGACGAAACGCGCGAACCAAATGGTACGACAGAGTTTTAAAAAGGCCCCCGCACTTATAAGCCGACCCAAACCGGCGCTTAGGGTCTCTTTGAGGCAACTTGTGGGTTTCAGGATAAACAACTCATCCTGAAACGCGGCCCTCGAGTCGACTGCGGCTGCGGCCTGCGTTTAATTTAAAAAACCCAAACGAGACAGACAACTTTTTTCAAAAACGCGCAAACCAAACAATTAGACAGTGTTTTCAAAAACGCCTCCGTATTTATAAGCTGAATGTCGCCACACTTATAAACTGCCCCAAACGGGCCCTTGCATACATACCAATAAATTCCTGTATATTTACATATCTAATACCTAAATTTTAACTTAGCTGAGGGATAAAAAAATTGTATTTTTTTGTTAGTTAAAAAAGTAGTCTTTTTCAAATGATATGAAAGATTTGGGTGTGTGGGTACCAAAAGTAAAGTTTTGGGGTTAGATAGATGTACATAAAATTGGATGGTAAGTATATAAATACCCCATTCTTTTTTTTTTCTTTTTCTTTACCTCACCAGCTCACCTCATTCCATTTATTATTAATACCATAAAATAATTATATACATAGTATAATTATTTATATATTAAATTTTAATATATTGTTATGAAAATTCTCTAAGAATATTCTGAGCTACATTTTCCCCCTAAAGATTTTTATTCGTATAAGTGTGAATGAGACAGCAAACCTATTTTGCTCATAATTTCTTCTAACAGTAGAAATACTTCACGTCATAGGACAGGAATGTGAATTTCCCCATGTGGCAACGAACACTGATATCTCTCTCTCAATTAATCCAAAGAAGACTTTCAGAATTTCATTACTATCGAGAAGATAAGTGATTGCATGCATTTATTTATTACAAAGTAACATTTTTATTGCAGCTTAAGGGTATACTTGTAAACACACATGCTATATATATATATATATATATTCATTTATGTACAAGTAATAAGATAAGCCACGACATATTAGAGATACTTGAGCCCTGGAGAGCAAACAAAAGACCGGCATCCTGTAGAGGAAAAGAAGAAATGGTTGTCCAGCTCTTGAGTAAGCATTTTTGAGGATCTCACAGGCATGCTCTCTGTTAAGACTCCCTCAAGATGACTAGCAGTTGACGTGATAGGCAGCTTGTTGGCGAGTTAATGGTGTTGAGATATAGAGAGCGGTTTGGTGACAATGTCAGCTACTTGGTCTTCCGACATAGCTCGTTTGGTAAAATCCCCAAATTTAAGGGATTTTACCCCTTTTGAGACTAAACTTGAGATATCTTCTTCATCATGCCATACCATTAGGGAGTTAAACATCATTAAGAATCCTCTGGCCTCCCTGAGCCAAGAAGAGACCATACCCTGGCCAACCACCCCCTCAGCCGCCGGAAACAACCAGCCCAAAGGTGCCCTCATTGGACAAAATCGAAAATTAAACCCCCTTGACTTGGCTCACTCTAGTTGGATGCTCGAGTCATTCTTCCCTCCACCTCAGCATGCTTTAGCACCCAACTCCCAGCCCTGAGCTCCACCAGGCAGCCATGTCTTTAAATTGATCTCTCCACGACCAAGGAAGAGAGTGTTAAAAACATTGGGGAAACTCAGTCAAAATATCACCAGAGCTTCTTCAAACCATCCTAACTGCAATCCCCTTACTCTCAGTCACTCATAGCCACCCCACAGAGCCAATTTCTTCACTGACATTTGCCCTAAAACCAGGAAAGATTTCTCCACTCCAACACAGTGCACCAAACTTCAATTAATTGTGCACAAACTATCTCCACAGTGAAAGAAGTTGATTCCCCACAAAAGCCCTCTCTGAAACAGCCTCTAACATAGCTCTAGACTAACACCTGAAATTGACTTTAATTGAAATCATACCTAGGCAATTCACTATAACCTAGAACTTCATCTGGAGGTTCGTTGGACCCAATTGAAGCTACCACAACCATCTGATTGAGGCCTCCCCTCTTAGACAAAAGTATTAAACCTCAATCCTAATCCGAGCCTTTTTTGATTCATTATACATATTTAGTGTATTTCATGTCGTATATACTGTATAGATAGGATAGTCTTGAGTAGATGAAGGTTTAGAAACAAACCCCATGTAATTTGGTGGAGTCTAGATGAAGGTCTTAAGGTTTTAGTCGGAACGGCTTACTGGATAAGTCACTTGGAGACGATAACGGAGAGCCATCCGATCGCACATTTATTTCATGAACGGAGGAGATTAAGCCAGACATACTCAGGGTGTGTGAACCACGGGCTGCATGGCAGCTAAGGTGGATGTCGACAACCAATGGGAGCATGCCGCGTGTGAGTTTGAATCTGTCGTAGGTTGAGTTGGCATCGCGTAAGATAAGTAGAAAAATATGGATTTTCAGAATTCACCTGAACTTTAAAAATTCACATCTTTCTCTAGAAAAATCATAAAAATAAAATAAAAATGACCTTCTTGCTCAGTGAACAGAAGAAAATAATGTGAACTAAAATAAAAATTATTTTCTTATTCCCTGATTTTTAATGAATTAAATACTTTATGGAGTATTTTAATTCATTATGATCAAACATTTTGCTCACCATGGCTTAAAATTTTGAGGGTTTGTTCCTCATAACATATACTATGTTCTCTAATTTTTCCAAGGTTAGAGGGCATCTCTAAGATTCTAGCCCTAATTTTCAAGCTAGGGTGACCATTTTGGTTTATTTTAATTATATATTTTAATTATATAAATCAAAATATATCAAAATATCATTTGAGAAATTATGGGAATAATTTTAGTAGGTTTCCTGTGATCAAAGAAGTCTTGAAAAAATATCATGATGTCTTGAATTATCTTGTAAATTTCTATATTTAATTAAATGTAAATATCGTGTTTTAATTTAGGTAAATAATATACTTATCCAAAATTGACAAAATAAATCCCACACTATTTATAAAAATCATGTTTATCCACTGTAAAAATTTGAAAATTGTTTAATTAAGTTTGTATTAAAGTTGATTTTCTAAAGAGCCTTGTTTTTTATACAAAAATAATTATATTAAATGAAATAAATTTGGGAAAATTATGAAAAGTTGTTTTCTAAGTTTTTTGTGATCAGCGGCACTTGGGAAAATAAAAATTATTTTTCAGAAAATACTTAATTTTTTAACTTTATTTTTAATTTAAAAATAATTAAAAATCTCAAAAATATCAAAATATTTCAAAATGTTCCTAATGGTTTCCTCATCACTTGGGACTCATTAAAATATTTTTCCTAATTTTTGTAAATTAAAAATAAATTTTAAAAGCTTATAAATGAATTTTTCTTATTTTTCCCATTAAAATAATTATAATGAATAAATTAAAAACCATAAAAACAAAAAATTTGATTCTATGAGTTTTTTGAACTCTGAGGAGTCTAATAAAAATATAAAAATAATTTTGGTAATTAAAGCAGTATTTTATTTTGTAATTAAATCATTGAAACTTGTTAATAATTAAATAATAATAATAAAAATTTAATTCAAAAAGCCATGAAATTTTGTCTAAGTATTTCTCTGACCTAGGGAAACCGTAATAATTTTCTAATAAATAAAAACTTTGTCTTGGAAAATTAAATAAATCAATTTCTAAAAAAGCCTATTTTCTGGGTTTAAAAAAATATTTAAATTAAATTAAATTTTGAGAAGTTCACATATTCTCCTCTAACATTATAATTACCTCATGGATATGACACTCAAAAGCCTCAAAGTCGTTTAAGTTGTGGTTAATGAGCTATGAGGTGAAGTACCCCAAGGGTAAAATAGTCATTTTAGACTTTGGTGCCTTAATCAAAATTTAGGATTAACCAACAGAAAATAGATAATTTTGATTTTAATAAACATGTTTGGATGATTGAAATACAATGGGGTTAAAAGGTAGAAACTCACTCACCACCTTTGTACAACATCAACAAAATCATAATTCTTCTAATCTTCATGACTTGGAAGTCGACTAAGATCAAATGATTCTTAAGTGTGGGTTTAAGCTAGAAAAGATTATAATTTACTTTTCTCAAGCCCAAAGTTCAGGATGATGTGATCATTTAATAAGAATACATATAACTTCAATCAAAATTTTTATGCTCACCATTCCACTCATCATAATTATTAAAGGCTTAGTAGTGACATAGGCGCGATGTTTACACTCAATTGATCAGATTTAGAAGATAACATGTTTGGTAATTAACATATTTAAACACTACAAACCTGACCTTAATTGTGGGCACCACAATCTTAAATGACCTAAACTTTCCTTAGGGGCACCCAATCACATAACCTTTAAACAAACCATCAATTGATTAATTGGGTATCCTATCCTCAGGATAATTCAAGTGTCAGGTTTCACTAAGAACCGGGGTAGTAACACTTCGACCTTAGATGATTAATGGAACAATATGATAAGTTTAGAATAAACTTGGAATATTTCAAGAGATCATCAAAATGGTCCATGGTCATGCCTCGAGCATTTGTGAACTCTATTGGACATTCTAAAGGGCAAATTGAACTTGCCATCAAAT